CCTCACTCCATTCAATTTGCTTAGTCTACTACCAAAGGAAGATATCAATTCCGGATATTTAAATGGCCAGTAACATTCTTTAATCCCTATAATTAAGTTACGGATATTAGAATTCGGATTGTCATCCTAATAACGTATTGCTAATGATAATTAAACGGATATCGGATACAAAAAAAAAAATAATAATTTAAAGGCGAATTTATTTAATGGACGTCGTCTTCTTCTTCGCACTTTTCTCGAAGTTAACTTGACACGATTAAAGAGAAAAAGAACTGCCAACGAGAATCTTTGGACGAGTTTGGGCGGAGAAATAAGGAACTTCCGACTTTTGGTGTTTTAATCATAAAATATTAATTGGACGCATTACATAATTATCCCGAAGCAAACAAGTGTCAAATTATTTAACAAGGCATATCTAATAGAAGAGCCGACTAATTACTGATGACTTATTTATGTAGGGTGTGTCTGGCGTCGTGTTACTTTCATCATTGTTGATTGCACAATCGTCAACAAGCAAAAAACTCTTCTTTCTTTCCTCATTCACTTAATGTACAAGCTGATGAACTACTCCTAAACATAATTCACCACTTTCAAAGAACTCTCTTTCCACGAAAAACCTAACATATTTCCTCTCTCATCGTCCGAATTTATTAACGTTAATGTAAATTAAAGCAAAATTTCGGTAATAGCAACGAATGTAGTCGTATTTTGTCTTTCTCTTTCCCAAATTTGTACTTCTAATAACTCCCATTGCTCGTGAACGGTTAAAGAATGTTTGCTGTTGAAAATCACGTTTATTAAAAGCGTAAAAGTTAAAAAAAATTGCAATTATAAAGTCTCTGTAAACATTTTTTTGAATGAATATAACTTGTTAAATCAATAATCATCTTATAATTTACCACTTCCGAGCGAATTTATAAAAATTTCACTAATAATTCCGCTTTCCAAATTCGCTCCTCTTCAACATTTACTTCTAATTTAATTAATATTATTAAATATTTTTGTACAATTTCTTATAAAATATTTTGTTTAAAACTTTAATAAGAAGAATATTTTATAATAAACAAATAATTTTTATATCTTTAATTAATTCTGAAATTCGCAATTTTAATTTCCCGTGTTTGATTTTATTTAAAAAAAAATTATTTCTGTTCTCTTTTATTTATTTTAAATTAAAGATCCATTATGGTCGAGTCCTCGTTCTTCGTCACGATTCGTTTTCGTGCGTCACGTATACGTCACACGCGTAACTTATATCTAACAAGTAGGCTACACGATTATTAGTAACGTCATTCGACACGTTTTATCATCATTATCGGTTCCAAACTTAATCCATAGTTTATGGTGACGTTTATAGTCATCACTTTCCTAAATATTCTCGGTTGAAATGCCATCTTTGGTACGTCACATTGGCAATTTTTCAACGAATTTTAATGTGTTTTCTTTAATATTTAAACAATTCAACTGAAATGTATTTGGCCTTCTTGTGTAATTTATTCGTAATATAAATCTTCTCCATATTGTTTGTGGGTAAGGAATATACATTAAAATAAATATACTTTGCTGTAAAGGATTCTTTAGGCCTTAGACTTTACATTAAAGTACATTTCCTTGGCAAAAACGTTGCAGCAAACGTTGGCCAGCGTAACAATATAGACGATGAATTTTAACTGTTAATGATGATAAATCGTTAGAGTTTGGGAAGCAAAACTATACGGCGAATTTGCAACTAATACAATCTATTAGCGGTAGATTTATGCCTATTATATGTTACGCGGTCTATTGTACCGCAGCCGTACGACGTCGGAATATATTTATAATTGCATAATGGGAAAATCCACAACGATGCGCATTATCGTCGTCGTCACGTGACCTATTGCCAACCATAGTGTACTTTATCGATCGCATTCTGGTTCATTTACCATCTAGTATGCTATATAAGCGTTATCGATCTAAGAATTATTATAACGGGGCATTAGAAACGTAACGTCTCTCGATCGTCGTAACCTTAATCAAACCCGTAAGTCCTAGAGATATCAATCAATTATACAGATAGAGATATGGGATGTATACGGCCAAGAATATGGATGATTTCGAGTTACGCAAGAAAATTTCTGTTTATATTCCGTTGCCAATGCAGTTGTAGTATATTCCGAGCGCTTTATGTATGCGCACGAAAGTTTGATCAATAAGTTTTGATCCGAGACATTCACTTCGGTCACGTTATGAGAGTTAAAATCGATCGGCGGCTTTTGGATGGCATTTTCCATATACCGGAGTGGAAAATAATTTTTAAAAGATGTGTTAAGTCTAGTCTTAGTTTAAAATAGACCCAATTAAGATTTTAATTCGTGAACCGAGCCACATTTACAGGAAGAATAGAACGGAGATAGTTGTTCATTGGGGAGATATTACACGTTAGCAATATTGTCTTAATGAGATGGAGCCAGAAATTGTGATTCACTCCGCTTCTCCTTCCACCTATTTTCAATAAAATTACAAACTGTTTTGAAAATTCTCCAGCATTCATTCCTATTTTGGATTTTAAGCAAGTTTTATTTCTTAAAATTATGACTTGGCAGTTATAATTTCCAGTTATTTCGTGATATATCCTTGATATATCACGCCAAAATATTTGGTAGAAAATTAAAAATATTCGAAATAAAAGTTATCTGCAGCGATTATTCTTTAAATCAATCTTCTTTTGCCAGTGCTTTCGGCAGAGAGATCGAATGCAAGGAATCCAGAAACGAACATTTTACTTTCATTAATCATTTGCATAAAGAAAATCTCAAACTTTCTTCATTTGATGGTCACGCCAGACTAACCGTACGGAGATTAGAACTTTTCCGACGAAACAACCCCGAATATGCGAATTCACCCGTAAAATTTTTCGTCCAAGCAACTTTTATGCGGCAACAAAACTTGACAATTTGCAAAAATATATTTCGTTATTAACGCAAAATTCGATGTGGTTAAAATCAATTTTTAACATTAATTTTCAATGAAGTGGTTTTAAAAATTTAATTAAGCCAGTTAAACAACGTATCTTCTTCGGCTTAATTAAATTTCCAAAACAAAACAGAGAATACAATAATTTATTTATAAGTTAAATGATCATTTTGCTCATGACTTTCCATAAGTTTCTTTGTATTTTTTAACCATATAAATGACATTTTAGCTGACAATTTCAACTGCAAAGCGGTTTCTTTTTTATCAAAAATTCGACATTAATTTTTTGAATTTAAAATTTTTTAAAGCGGTTATTACACATGCTATCGAGTGTTTTCTCCAATTCCAATATTTTTCGAGCGACATTCGTAATAATTTCCAGTATTTAATTAAAACTTTTAAATTTTTTTAATGAAAAACTAATACGGAATTTAAAAAAAAAATTAAAAGCAAACAAGCTAAAAATAGAAGAGGAAGAGACGAGAGTGGGAGTGAGAGAGGAGCGCTTTGATGGAAAGCAAAAGTTCATTTTTGCAAGCCAAACAAAGGAAAGTGACAAACAAAAATTATAAAGTGTGATCGATGCGCTTATTAATAATTAGAGTAGAAGCTCAACCTGGCTGACACTAATCTACCTACGCTGATCTTATCCCCGGGCTATCGAAACTTACCCGATAGGATAGGGAAATTTAATTTGAGTGAAGCTACATCCATCCCATCTCTCGCCATTGTTTAATTTTCCGGCCCTGGGGCTATCGTCTCTCCAATGATGGGTTTATCGCCGATAGACGTTGACAATGTTTTACCTATCTACCCAGAATTCCTCGCATTTAATTGATTCCCGTCCTCCGTGCTTCATCTGTTCCGCGGTCGCATATTGGTTGGCCGCATTTTGGCCTCCTAAATGGATCTGACACACGGTTATCTTCTTCCTTTTTTATATATTCCGGATCCCCCCGCTATAACTTGGACTTTTTTCAAATCGAAAAAGTAGAAGAAGATTCTTCTTCGGAAATCTTCCCCATACAAAAAAGAAAGACGACGACGACGACGACGGTCGGTGTAGCTTTTGACTGCAGAAAAGTCACCAATCGTCGAAGGTCCCGACACTAGATTTTGTTAAATATTTACTTCAATGACTAAATTATCGAAGATAAAATTAAACTGACGTTAAAAAATGGCTTCGAGAGTGTTAAGTCGGTGTAAATATTTAACACGAGAACAATGTTGACTCTTGGAATGTTCTTTCATTAACTTTCATTATGTTTGCCGAAGGAAAAAAACTTAATAATTCGTCTTAATTATCATTTACTATATCTTTCAGTCGAAAAAAAAAATATATATATATAGTGATGTAAATTTGAACAAAAAGTTTTGATATTCAAACACAATTTTCTATATATATATATATAGGCACATAATTTCTTCTTCTTCTTCTTCCGCTAGAAAATAAACTGGCGCTAAAAAAATTTAAACAAATAAATCACTAGCAGACTTGGTTATCTGCCACGGGAAACCTTTGGCTATTACTTCGACTTACCGGGAAGATATTACTCATCCATTAATCTTGAAGTATTAAATAATGCTGCTAGATAAAGGGCAAGGCGTCGACAATGGGCGACTTAAGAAAAGGATAAGAATAAGAAGTGTAGGGCATAAGTTTGGCCACAATTAAAAATCGAAAAACGGACTTTACCGAGCCGAATTTTAAACCTTTAAGTGCCTTCTTTAATGATATAATGGAAAAGAAGGTGAGGGTTGGAGGGAATGACGTGATCTTTAACTGCCGTTGACAATTGTTGCGAGTAAACAATAACTCCGACCTCTTTTCCCCCTAACGTCTGCTAATGTGCATCCGATTTAAACTTCTGTATTCCCGGTTAAGTGACGTTCCATTAAGTATTCTATCTACGGATAAACGCGTCGATATTAATAGTGTTATCTTCCATTATCGCCTCTTGTGTTTTTCCCCCTTTACCTTATTTAAATTACATCTTTATAATTCTTGGAGAAAACGTCGGCCAAATGGTATAAATTGATAAAACGTTTCAAAAGAAAATACGCTTCGTGTTGGATTAATTTTATTTTTTATTCATTGGAATGCTTTTTACAGACTTCTGGAAGGTGTAGGAGCATTAATAAATACAAGTTTCCTTTGTTTCTCTCCGAGGGCCTTCCGAATTTTGCGCTTAAATGCTCTCTTTTTTTTAATGTCTAGTTTTATACGCGAGGCCCATCGCATACATTTCTGTATTCTTCTTTTTGGCAAACTTAAAAAAATTTTAAATTCATAAAAGTTTAAAACTAAAATTTGGAAAAAAACAGCGAATGGTTGGTTTTAAATGATCGTTCTTTATAAAATAACAGAATTAATTCCGAATTTTGTCGCAATTCACGAGAGAACACCATCTCGTCTCTAAATTAGGCACCAGAATCTAATTTTGACGAACAAGCTTTTGACGATAATTCTTTGTTAAGAGGATTCGCCTAAAGTCGTCAATTGCGATTATTTTTATCATTCATGTTCGATGTTGATCCTTGGCATTGAATGGCGTGTTTCATGACACCCACGGCCATTCCACTGTCTAAATTAGGACGGCATTCTATTTTAGATTCCTGGTTACTATTCTGATTCTCTTCCGTGACTCTCAAATTTGTTTCGACGGCATGATGATGGTCGCGCGTGTCCGATTCGTGGATGACCAGAGGCTGCTGCTCCACGTTTTCCGTTTCGGCCGCTGCTCTTGATCCCGGTGGTTCTTCTGTCGAAGGTTCGGGCTCGCTGGCGGGTGGTGCTACCACGTGTACTACGTGCTCTTCCTCGTTGCCCGTCTGTTGCAAGATAGCGGGCAGCTCGTAATGATGAAAGAAATACAACATGGAATGCTGGAGGGGAAAAAAACAATCGTTCGGTTGGATTTTTTCGAAATAAATAGAGCGAATTAACCGGTTAACACGTACCTGAATAAAAAACCACGAGGTGAGCAGGGCCAAACCGCTGTACTGACCGTTAAATCTATAGTCGTAAGCGTAGAAGGCAAAATGATACAAGTAGAAGAATCTGCGGAATGGAAAAATATATATTAGTAAATGGTAAAAAAAGATATCGCGTATGAAGACGCGAACGTGGGTGACACGAGTCAATCGGCGATTGTTTTAGGAGAGAAAAAGGATCAACCGTTTTGTGTAACTCCATTCATCATTCTTAAGGTGGACGATGTGGAAAAGTGTCTCGGACGAGATTACGGGAGCAGAGGTGTCAGACGGTCCTGGGGGAAATAAATTTTCTAGCGCGTGGGATTAAAGGCCTTCCCTTTATCACGTGACGGCGATTTATAAAAATGGCATTTCGTTTTAAAACCTGCACCCAACCCTCTTTTCTCCCTTTCGTAGACAGACTATTATTAAATTATGGTAAACTGAAAAGGGACAGTCGAACGTATTGTTTTAATTCCATTACGGTCGGTTGCACCCATGAAAGAGTTATGGAGTAGGAGTACCCATGGGCCTTTATGCCGCTCGCCCTGCTTGCAATATTAAAAAGGTGACAACAATGGTTTGCGGGAGGCTAAATAATGATGGTATTCAGTGATCCATCATAGGGGTCAATAGCTAGTGACGTCGCCTGAGGGATCGCGTCCTTCTGTGTCGCTTTGCCTCCGGGGGGACATTTTCTGCTATCTCTCCCCGAACGGCGGTGCAGCTCGATCTAATGGGACGCGCTTTAAATCGTGGACCAATCATAAGGAGAAGGAAAGGCGATACTCGTCGTGCAATCAATTGTCCGATCGCAACGCAGATGGATGATACGTAATTACAACACGCGAAGTAACAGTTACACGTGGTTAAGAGATCGAATTACTCGCTTTTATTAAATATATAACCTGGAACTGGTTCAATCAAGTGACGAAAGGGATCGCTTACTACATCGTTGATTAATTTGAAGGAGAACCTCATCCGTTTTAGTTCCGGCAGTCTGCAATTTGCAAACAAATTACAATTTGACTGATGTGCCTGTTATCTTGAACAAACACCTGCTGAAATGCGTTATGATCGGTACTTATTATTGAACATCGGAATTCGAATCTTCGTCTATTGCTTAATTTCTCTTTCACTTTTTCCATTTTAATATAATTACGATTATTACTATTTAATCTTTACTATTACTATTTAATGTTTACTGTTTACTATTACTATTTAATGTTTAATGTTTAATAATTACTATTTAATGTTTACGAACCGGCCAGAATATACTGATGACGAAAAAACCAGCAGCTAGCAAAAAGAACTTTCGCTAGACACAGTCTAATCAGCAGCAAAAAATTCCCTCCGTCGATTTTATCGTTCTTGTTACCTACGACTTGATTTGTTGTATCAATAAGTCGGAGACGAAAAAGCGGGAAGAGAGAAGAAAAAACTTTTTTAAGTAGAAAAGAAAGAAATGAAAGAACGGAATTGAATCTTTTCACTGCTTCGAAACGATCGAGAGGGTAGAGAAATATGTGATTTGTCTGTCGTCCGATGGAGGAAAGAGAGAGAGAGAGAAAGAGAGAGAGGTGGGGAAAAGCCTCCGCCCAATCAATTCCTATGGACTGGCGGGAGATGGATGCAATCCCAAGACACCTCCAACCATAGACGAACTGTTTGTCTGCCTCGTGTACACATCATCCCGTTCACATATACACAGACGTATATGCTGTTTCGTGTTCATTGGTGCCATCAATAGTCGATGTAGTCCACTTTAAGATTCATTTAATGGCCCATTCTTCAAAATATTCGATATTCGTGTTTTTTTAAATATTAATCAATACAAAATTTTATACTTATACTGTATACGTAAGTTGGAATCTACTACACTTATTTAAAAAACAGTTAAAACATTTAAAGATATAAAAATGCGACAATATGTATATATATACACACACATTCACATTATATATATATTTATCATTCATGTTCGATGTTGATCCTTGGCATTGAATGGCGTGTTTCATGACACCCACGGCCATTCCACTGTCTAAATTAGGACGGCATTCTATTTTAGATTCCTGGTTACTATTCTGATTCTCTTCCGTGACTCTCAAATTTGTTTCGACGGCATGATGATGGTCGCGCGTGTCCGATTCGTGGATGACCAGAGGCTGCTGCTCCACGTTTTCCGTTTCGGCCGCTGCTCTTGATCCCGGTGGTTCTTCTGTCGAAGGTTCGGGCTCGCTGGCGGGTGGTGCTACCACGTGTACTACGTGCTCTTCCTCGTTGCCCGTCTGTTGCAAGATAGCGGGCAGCTCGTAATGATGAAAGAAATACAACATGGAATGCTGGAGGGGAAAAAAACAATCGTTCGGTTGGATTTTTTCGAAATAAATAGAGCGAATTAACCGGTTAACACGTACCTGAATAAAAAACCACGAGGTGAGCAGGGCCAAACCGCTGTACTGACCGTTAAATCTATAGTCGTAAGCGTAGAAGGCAAAATGATACAAGTAGAAGAATCTGCGGAATGGAAAAATATATATTAGTAAATGGTAAAAAAAGATATCGCGTATGAAGACGCGAACGTGGGTGACACGAGTCAATCGGCGATTGTTTTAGGAGAGAAAAAGGATCAACCGTTTTGTGTAACTCCATTCATCATTCTTAAGGTGGACGATGTGGAAAAGTGTCTCGGACGAGATTACGGGAGCAGAGGTGTCAGACGGTCCTGGGGGAAATAAATTTTCTAGCGCGTGGGATTAAAGGCCTTCCCTTTATCACGTGACGGCGATTTATAAAAATGGCATTTCGTTTTAAAACCTGCACCCAACCCTCTTTTCTCCCTTTCGTAGACAGACTATTATTAAATTATGGTAAACTGAAAAGGGACAGTCGAACGTATTGTTTTAATTCCATTACGGTCGGTTGCACCCATGAAAGAGTTATGGAGTAGGAGTACCCATGGGCCTTTATGCCGCTCGCCCTGCTTGCAATATTAAAAAGGTGACAACAATGGTTTGCGGGAGGCTAAATAATGATGGTATTCAGTGATCCATCATAGGGGTCAATAGCTAGTGACGTCGCCTGAGGGATCGCGTCCTTCTGTGTCGCTTTGCCTCCGGGGGGACATTTTCTGCTATCTCTCCCCGAACGGCGGTGCAGCTCGATCTAATGGGACGCGCTTTAAATCGTGGACCAATCATAAGGAGAAGGAAAGGCGATACTCGTCGTGCAATCAATTGTCCGATCGCAACGCAGATGGATGATACGTAATTACAACACGCGAAGTAACAGTTACACGTGGTTAAGAGATCGAATTACTCGCTTTTATTAAATATATAACCTGGAACTGGTTCAATCAAGTGACGAAAGGGATCGCTTACTACATCGTTGATTAATTTGAAGGAGAACCTCANATATGGCTAAAAAAAATGAACACTATTCAAAGAAATGCATATGCAAATAAAAGAGCATTTTATAGTTTTTATCAATTTTATGTGAATTTAATTTATCAGGATGAAAGATTTAAATAGAAATATCAGAATAATATAAGGATAGTTCTACTTTGGAAATTTTTTCATTCCTTACAATAAGAAACTTAAGTTGACTTATTCAATATGTTTAGCCTACATCAAGTGTTTCAGATCATGCAATTAACTTTTTTATTAATACATTTTCTATGAAAACTCAATTACAAAACTTTTTTTTCAATTGGAAACATCAGAAGACGATTGTATTCCATCCCCACTGATAACAAGAAATAAAAGATTCCCAATAAAATAATAACAAATTATAAAAGATATTAAAAACTACAGAATAATACAGGGTTATTCACTTGGGACAAAATGCTTATTATATGGAATATTTACATGATGTCCCATCCCAGGTATACAAGGTTTTTTCCCTTTTATGAGTAGAGCATAGACATGACAAAAACAGGCAAAGAGAATTGTCCAGATGGCTTGGGCAGCTGCACTATTCCAAAAAACCTCCATTCTCCAGTCCAATAAACCTTCTCTCTTTCTCTTTCCAAACTCCACCATGGGTAGTAAGAAAAAAAAATGAAATAAAAAAAGAAAGAAAAAAGAATTGCTAGTTGCTAGAGATTCTATCCAAGAATTATCACTTTATAGAAAACTGACACTTTTCCTATTTTCTGTTCTGTCTTACTTTCTAATATATTAAAAATTAACACATTCTTCTAAAGTTAAATTTATGTCTTTTGTACAAAGAATATAAACTTAAGGCTACAATTGGATGTTAGATTGTGACAATTACTCTACTTACCTCAACCAATAGTACTTTGTAATAGCTGTATGGCAACAAATAGCATCATACTGATCTGCTACCCATACTATTAAAATAATGTAAAATGCTGTTGTTGTATCATTAAAAAATTCTGACATAATTGCTTCCATTCCTATAAAAAAATAAATAATAATATTTGCCATTAAAGCCAAAATTTTGTCTAACATATAATAATTAAAATTTCACAAACTTCTTTCTAATTGTACTTATATAATGGGACAGGAAAAAAATTACTAAAATGTATTTTATACCAATGCTACATACTAATGTATGCTAGTATCACATACAGATTCTTCCTCTTCTATAAAACAAATTCTTTCACTTTTATATTATAAATTTTAAACTTTATATTTTTACAGCAAAAGACCACTTATTTATTTATCTACAAACTTGAGATAAATTTTAAAAAAGCACTGATTAACGCCTCTGGTGATTTAACATAAAAATTATTTTAAAAAGTATAAATAGAAGCAAAGAAATTTAAAATATTTCTTCATTAATAACTAACGAAAAAATATTGGTATTTTTATTTTTTCTTCATAATTTTTGTTGTTACAGCTTGATTAACTTTCTGAATTCTAAATGTTAATTTGCTCATATAAATTAAATCTTTTTGCTATTAATAAAAAACTTTTTCAACTACATTTCATTCATTAAATTAATGGATGATTTGATTTCAAGCTAATCACTGTGATGAACATAAACTATTACTACTTGTTAATTAGATGAAAATATTGCTAATATCAATTATCTTATAATTCAATAATATATTTTTTTTAAATAAAAAATTATCTTGTTAAGATACAAGCCAAAAAACTTAGCTTCTAATTTTCAAAAACAGGAACTATTTTTGAATATTTTTACTACTGCATAATGTAGCAATTAATTAAGAATAGAAAATAAAGAGCATAGAGAATTTATTATTAGTAATATTTTCTGTATAATATTGATACGTTTAAGTAAACTAATATAAAATGCTCTGTAGTTATTAAGGAATTACTTTAATCTATCTATTAACAATAAAATTATATTACATTTTTTTCTTCCTATTACATTAATATCATTTAAGAAATTGTTCAAATCAAAAACAGAAAATTTCTATAGTGTAAATGTTTTACATCAATAAATAAGCATTACTGTAAAATAAAATTTGCCATTTTGTAAATAAAATTATAAGTATCAAAACATGACAAAACTGATTTCTCACTTTGATTTCTAAAATCAAATTTTAATTAATTACTTTTATTTATTGTTCAAAATGCTAATAAAGAACAACATTAATTTAAGTTAGCTGTGAGAAATAGAAAAATATCTCTCAGTGACAGATTGATAGCTATCATTAATAACTAATGTGCTACATAAGACCAAAATGAAAATTTAATAAATCATTACTACACATTCAAATTTGCTCTTCTGAAAATGTTCTTTTTTTAATATATTGTATTTTAATTATTATTAAAATTATTTATTATAGTATACGAATGTAAAATATATTCAATGTACGTCATTTAGAATTTTATATATAAATAGTTTGGTAAAACCAAAAACAGTTAAAATATGATACATTTAATGGATATTGTCATTCATTACATATTTATTTTTAAAGATAATGATTTGTATGATTGATTACTATATGAAAGTCTAGAAGCTTTTCAAGTAGAAAATATAGAAATAGAACTTTATAACTATTTGATAACTGTAAATAATAATTGTTATTTATAAATATCAATTAGTTTTAAAGTTCCATTTAAAGTTCTAATAATATAAATGTATTACTATATATTCAAAATTAATAATGTCAAATAAATTATTAACAAATGTAATGTATAATTAAAATACAGTATATTAAATTATATGTAGGAAATTCTATGGCTTTGAAAATCTAAATTTAATAAAATTTCTGCCAAAAAATAAATATTTATTTATTTAGATATGGCTAAAAAAAAATGAACACTATTCAAAGAAATGCATATGCAAATAAAAGAGCATTTTATAGTTTTTATCAATTTTATGTGAATTTAATTTATCAGGATGAAAGATTTAAATAGAAATATCAGAATAATATAAGGATAGTTCTACTTTGGAAATTTTTTCATTCCTTACAATAAGAAACTTAAGTTGACTTATTCAATATGTTTAGCCTACATCAAGTGTTTCAGATCATGCAATTAACTTTTTTATTAATACATTTTCTATGAAAACTCAATTACAAAACTTTTTTTTCAATTGGAAACATCAGAAGACGATTGTATTCCATCCCCACTGATAACAAGAAATAAAAGATTCCCAATGAAATAATAACAAATTATAAATGATATTAAAAACTACAGAATAATACAGGGTTATTCACTTGGGACAAAATGCTTATTATATGGAATATTTACATATAAAGTGAAAAGATGAGCATAAAACACAAATGGAATGATTCTTTATTTCATGTTGAAGCAGTCAACCAAGGTATGTTTTATATTATATGTCATTCAATGTAACTGTGCAATCGTGAATGTTGCAAATATTGTATTCATATAATATTCAACCATGGTGATATTGGACATTTTATACTATCAAGCTATCCATATTTATACAATTTTAAATAACACAAACTTATTTATCTTAATTTTATAACATCTGCATCTAAATAAAGATTGTTGCAAAGACATTTGATACTATTCTAGAAATTCACAACTGGACTTTTTATATACAAGGAATAGTCAAGAAATAAACTCAACTTTTGACAAAAATTTTATTACACAACACGAACTCTTACACTATCACTTTCAAAATAAACTCCTGTAGCTATACACCTCTGCCAACATCCATGTCACTTGTCAAAGCTGTCCTGAAAGTTATTTTTTGTGATGTTTTTACAGATTTTCATCACTTTGGCTTCTTTCTCTTCTACTGATTTGGAACCTGTAACCCTTCAACTATTCTCATTTTAGATAACAGTTGAAAGTCTATGGTATAAAGATTAAGGAAGCTTTGTTATGCCTTACTTGGCCAGATATTCATTATTTATTTATTTTAATTAATCAGGAAGAACCAATGGAAAGTGAATGTGAAGTTACTATTATACATTCATGAAAGCCTTTACAAACACTATACAAACATCCAGCAATGAGTTGCTTAACTTTCCNCCTAAATGCAAATTCTTGCACAGGGCACAGGAATGGCTAGTTACTGCACTGGTTAAGGATATCTTTAGGAAGACCGATCATTTTCAGTTGTACTAGGATATAAAATTTCAGTAATTTTGTTGAATTACGATAAAAATTCCATTTAGAAAACACTATGACACTTGCCCAAAGTTAAAATTATGCGTGTTACGAAATGTTATTATTAAAAAGTAACTTTTATATATTATAAAAAAGAAAAAAAAAACTTCATTTTGAGGTTAGACAAGAGTTTTTAAAAATTTAAATGCAATTACAAGTAAAATTTCCATTAAGTACGGACCCCTCTCCAAAGTTAAAATTATGCGTGTTACGAAATGTTATTATTAAAAAGTAACTTTTATATATTATAAAAAAGAAACAAAAAACTTCATTTTGAGGTTAGGGAAAAGTTTTATAAAAAATTGTAAATACTAATAATGAGTAAAATCATCATTAAATTTGACACTACTCAAGATATGACACAACTGCCCTTTATCTCCCCACCTTGTTGACCTTTAACCACAAAAAATTTAATAACATCAATTCCCTAATATAAAGCCTCCTGGCAAAATTTTAGGAATTTTTGACAGAAAGCATAGGAGTTATTAAGTTTCAAAGAGAGTGAACAAAATTGTGCTCCCACAACACACACACACAGAAATAACCCACAATTTCTTTGCAAATGCAATTCTTTGCATTTGCAAAGAAATTTCTCAACATTTCAAGATCCAACAAGTCCAAAAATGTAAAAATCTTGGGGGGTTATGTTTTCATCAATTGCTATACTTTCCCTCTGTTATATATAAGAGCCAGGAAAGTAAAATGGATTCCAGAATTGCTTTTACAAGTGGTATGGATGCTGGCAAAAATGTATAGCTGCAGAAAGAGAGATCCTATAGTTATTAATCAAAGACACATGATTGGGCTATAATTTGGAAAAATTGTAGGCCTAGAAATTCCCAGTCATCTGTCTGTCTTTCCTTAATCTCAAAAACAGAGTTAGATAGATGAAAGATGAGGCCAGATATTGAAACCTTAGGGGCAGGAGTGCCCAATTAACTATATGCGAACTTCCAATGCAAACCGGAAATAATGTTATTTGAATTCAAGAATTTACCCTTGAAATGTGTTAGATAGATGACCAGTGTGACTCTTGTTAAAGGAAAAGTATGATAATAATTGGTCACAATAAATAATTGCTCATTATACTTGACATCCACAACTCCATTTTCAAATTATTAGTAACAAAAACATACATTTTGTTTAACTTTCACTAAGCTATTCTTTGCTGAAGTATTTCATCCTATATTTAAATTTGAGAATTTAGATATAAAAAATTTATAAAAGAGTGAAAATATATTTTATTATTCTTAAAATTAACTAAAATTACTTTTTGACAATTTTTTATTGAATTTTTTTCATAAAAGTATTTGTGAACAACATGTACTGTACTGTTTGAACAAATATCTAGATTAGTGATCAGCCAAGTTGTTACTGTTGGTATACAATATATGCAATTAATCTTTGATAAATTAAAAATAATTTATAATTCATATTCTATCATAAATTACATGCCATTTTTAATAAGAAAAGATACTTGAATTGTTTTCATTATTTTTTAATATACCTATTTTAATTTAAATATAAAATTAATTAAGCATTAAATAAGTTTTAAAATGTTTTATTGAATTATTTTCATTAATTTATTAAAAATTAAATTAATAATAAAATTCATTTTATTATTAACAAGCAATTATTTATTGTGACATTGTCACAATTCCAGACTGCAATTTTTAATCATATTTTCAATTTATTTAATTTAAAATATATGCTTGCCACCTCAAATTAGTAGTGTCTTCATCCTATACATCATACTTTTCCTGTAAGCAATTGAGTCATGCCAGTCATATATCTAACTCCTTTCAGGGGAAAATTTTTGAATTGAAATAATGCGACT